TCCAGAAATAAAGGAAACGTTGGATCAGAGAAACAGACTTTGAGAAATCGCTCTTGATGATTACACTGTGCCTTACTGCTATTTGCCCTCCAATGAAAGCGCTGTACCATAGCAGTTTTAAGGTATAAAGAACTAAAATGCCTCACAAAGAAGATGGTTTTGAGTGAATATCTTATTTGCAGAAAGAAGGAAATGGCTCTAGGTGCCAGTGAATATGGCGAATAAGGCAGAGTTCTGTGGCTAGGCTTGCTCATTTAGATAGTTAGATGGCCTGTCTTCACCCCTCGCCCAGCTACAGCACTGCTTCCGTCTTCTGTCTCTCGCTAGCGTTATCCACAATGTTGGTATTGAACTGGCAGCGGCGTTCGCGAAGTCCAGATCCATTTCTTGTTACCAGCTGAGAACCTGGCTGGTCCATCCGTGCAACGAACACGTCAGCCCATCTGGTCGGGGCCTCGCTTGACGTTTTGCTTCTGAGTTCAATCTAAAGTTCTTAGTGTCCACCTATCGTCTGTCCTTCTCATTATATGACCAGCTCATCGATGCTTTGCCTTAGAGACATACTCTGCTGGATCGCGAAGACGAGACATTGATCTCATAGCTGCACTGCGAAGTCCAACTAGAGTTGAGTGCGGCGGTTGTACTTCAGAACACATCGTTCCAGCGCTCTGTGGGTTGTATGAAGTGCCTTCGATGTAGCCACAGTGTCAGGCCACGTCTCTGCTGCGTAACAGAGCGCAGGAACAACGACAGAATCAGGTTGGCTCGGAGCTCTGGGTCCGTCAGTTGGACTGTGGCCAAGGCTTGAAAGCACAAGCTGCTCGTTGCTTTCTGTTTAGTTCTTTTTTTAGATTGTTCTCCATGTTCAACGTCGCTAAACGTAAGAACACGTCTCTGAGATTGAAGAACCTTCTAATTCCATTTCCTGATTCTCACAAAAAGCGCTTTTTATGAACTGAGTCCTTCCGGTAATTCTTCCGGCAGTTCTAACCATTTCCCTACTTCATCTTCTTTCAACATCATCTCCGCTTCAGTGATATACCTCGAGAAGAGTACAATGTCGTCAGCAAAACGAAGAGCCGAGAGGAGCCTCCCACTAACAC